GTTGCTGGGATGTATAGTTCACCTACAATGAAAAAGTATTCTGAACCCCACCAATGATAGAATTGAGCCAAACTTCCCACACAGAAGTAACAGAAAATATTATGTTTTCTGATGGTCTTTGGTGACCCATCTGACATCCCCTAGCGACCCCCCCCCCCTGGGGTCCCGACCCCCAGGKTGAGAACCACTGCTCTATATTTTCTTGAATTCACAGCCTATAAAATCCCATTGCTTTCTTTGCTGGGACRATGAAGAAATACAATTGTTTGCAGAGAACAACACAAGGATGCATTTCCTTTGTGGGTTGAGCCCCTGGGCAATGAACTCGGCCCACAGTTAATGTGTAACTCAGATTTAGTCTAAATAAAGGCCCATCATCACATGCCTTTAGCTTGTCTTCTGTTTATATTGTATTTAATACACCCCAGGATATAAATCCATGGTTGAAAAGAGCCTCAAACCCTGGGATTTCTAATCAGTGCTAGTTGCGTGTTGTAAGTGATTGCTTCCTGTTCTACACACACCATTTCCTTTTGGATGAAGCAAAGCTGGAACAGCCAGGCATATTTCGGTTCCATCGCATGAGCTTTGAACCAAATCCAAATAAATGCTGCGCTGTTATTTAGCGGCACGTTTTGTACTTTCTGCTTGCCTTTATATTGATCCGAGGATCCCAAATACTTCTGTTATTTTGGCAAATGACCCCAAATGTTATTTGAGGCTGAATCACCAACTGGCATCGTCAATATTATTATTAAACTAATAATAATATGTACTAATTTGTGGAAAATTCTACCCATTGTTTCCCTGTTGTATAAGAGTCCAAGGCTCCTCCTACACTGCCATATAAAACCCAGATAATCTGCTTTGAACTGGGTTATGTGGCAGTGTAGACTCATAAAATCCATAAAATCTGCATTTTGCCCGTGTGTATTTGTTCTATGTATTTTATATGTGTTTTGTTTTATCATGCTGTTTTAACCATGTGGTTTCCCGCCTTGGGTCTCAAGGAAAGGCAGCTAATACATTTCTTCCTCTTCTTCCCCTTCCTTTTGCTTTTCTTCTTCCTCGCCTTCCTCTTTTCCTCTTCTTCCTCTTCCTCATTGTTCTTTTCTTCTTCCTCCTCTTTTTCTTCCTCTTCCTCCTCTTTTTCTCCTCTTCTTTTCTTCTTCTTCCTCCCCTTCTTCCTCTTCCTTCTCCTCTTCTTTCTCTTCCTCCTCTTTCTTTTCTTCCTCCTCCTCTACCTCATCTTCCTCTTCTTCTTCCTCCTCTTCCTCTTCTTATTCTTCTTCTTCCTCTTCCCCTCCTCTTTTCTTCTTTAACCTTCTCTTATTCTTCTTATTCCTCCTCCTGCTCCTCCTCTTCTTCTTCCTCTCCTCGTCCTCTTCTTCTTCCAATAACTTTTCTTCTTCCTCCTCCTCTTCATCCTCCCTCATCCTCTTCTTCCTGCTCGTCTTCTTCCTCTCTTCCTTCTCTTCCTCCTCCTCTTCTTCTTGCTCATCTTCTTCCTCCTCTTCCTCCTTCTCTTCTTCCTGCTCATTTTCTTCCT